ATGGTGATTGTAATTTTATATATATGTGTGATTTTCATGTTGTAAAATGATATCCTAAAACATCAAATTCATTTATCAACTTCCAAATCGAAGATCAAACCAAGTTTTTATAATTTTATTTTTAAGTTCCTTTTCCAAGTTTTGTTTACTTGATTCAAACTTGGATTAAAGATTGTTTACTCCTGCAAATTATTTGACATTGAAACCTTCAAACACTTATCTCGGTGGCGACAAATATCGTTTGAGGACATCGATTCATAATCGTGTTCAAACCTTCAATTTTGGCAATTTCTTGTTGCTGGTTTTATTTTTGTTTTTCATCAACTTTTGATCAACAATAGGTGAAGGGCCCTTCTCAACTTCTGTACTTTAATACTTCATGCAATCATAAAGAAGTTGACATGACTATGAAGTACATGTCCAAGGTTGTAAATAGGTAGTTTATAAATATATGATCGAGCTTGTGCAGATGGATGTTGCTCAGTGGGATCGATAGGAATATCTATGTCACCCGAAGTAACGATAATGGCTATTCTCAACTTCTACGTTATTGTACACATGCAGGGGTAGACCTAGGGGGTCCAGGGAGGGGGGGGGGCACGTGCCCCCCAACAAAGTTTGTTGAGTGATGACCTCTTCGTCCTCGTCTTGGAAATTGATTTCTCTTGGTGCTGGTGGTATTGTTGTTGGTTTCTACGATCATTGTTTTCTCTACCTTCCATATGTGGACCTAGGGGGGTCCTGGGAGGCACGTGCCCCCCAACTTTTGAGTTTATATATATATATAAAGTCGCGTTTGGTATCGATTGAAATATAAATTTTAATTTAAATCAAAATTAACAATTAATTTTAATAACATATTTCATGGAATTCATAACTATTTAACTTTTATCAAAATTTGATTTTAGTCTCCATCAAACAGGGGCAAAATCATAATAAATTTTAATTTTTTTCTTTCTTCTCGTCTTTTAACAAAATCTGAACTCTCTATCAAATAAGGGCGAAATATTGCATTCTTAGTACCATTTTGAAGTGTTCACGATCTAGTTTTTTTACGTTGTTAATGTCGTACGAAACGATCAATCATAGCAAATGCTACAACTTGTCAAAGTAAGCCGTTCAAAATTAGTATTTCGAAAATTTCAATAATATGCTAACTTTAAAAATTCTTCAACGATCGTACACTAATCGAATCTACAAATTGCTTATATCATCTCAAATTTTATTTTGAGAACTACATTATAGGCATATCAAATAATTCAAACAAATATCGAAAATAGTTAAAAATGCGTTAAATATGAGTTTTAAATAAAGCCGTTTAACTTGTATTTTTTTAAAAAAATATAAAATTATTTCATTAACATTTATTATTTTTGTAACACAAATTTATCAATGTAATTTTCATCCTTCTATTAGGAAATTTTATATGGAATATGACATAAATTTTTTTGAAATTTTACATCTGAAAAAGTCATATCATATGTAATTTTTCGGATGCAAAATTATATGAGGTATGATTTTTGTGGATGTAAATTTTCGATGCCTAGAGGTGTCAATTTGGGTGGTCCGGGCCGGGTCGGCCGACCAACATATGAGCCCAGTAACGGCCCGCGTGAAAAAAAGTCCGTCAGCTACGGGTTCCAGGTCGACCCACAAATTTTGGACTATAATCCAGACCCGCCCACTGACCCATCCGGATTGAGCTCATGCGGGTCACGGGTTGCGATTTGTTCCGATTTGACCCGTATTATTGTATAAATAAAATTATAAAAATATAGAATTTTTCATATTTATAGCAAAAAATATTTTTTTTGTTAAATGTAAACTAAGAATTGAACAAAATGATAAATTCATATTTATACCAAGAAATGTTTACATAGAATTCAAATTTAATATTACATGAATTATTTATAACTTTGTAAAGTTAAATTTAACTTAAACAAATAACAATTTAATGCATTTCTAATTACTATTATCAAATATTTATAGTATAAGTACATCCCAACTAGGTTGACACCTACTTTTATTATAATTTATAGTTTAAGTATGTCTCAACTAAGTTGACACCTATTTAAGTCTTAATTATAATTTAGTTGTTCAAAAATTATATATTTTAATATTTATTTTCTAATCAATTTTCAGAAACTGCAAGATTTTTGAAATTTTCAACAACATCATCAATAATTTTATTTTGCTCTCCCCCCTCCCTTTTTTTCAAATTAAAAAAAAAACGAAAATTCACGGGCCAGCGGGTTAACCGCGACCCGTGAAGGTGCAACCCGTGAAGCCTGCGGGTCACACCTCCTTGACCCGTGAACCGCCCGCTCGGGTCATGGGTCGGCCTGCGGTCCTGGGTCGATTCGGCCTTGTTTTCACGGGTCTGACCGGCCCACCCGTCTTGACACCTCTAATTGTACCCCCCTAACATTAAACTTCTGCGTCCACCTATGAACACGTGTGTTATATATGTATTATTTTAACTAGCTGAAATCAATTATTCTATTGTTATTAATCTCTTATTTGAACCCAATTTTAAGATAAAAATGTATTTTTGAATAGTGATTTTTGGAGAATGTATAGTTAAAAATAAAGAAAAAAATTTCAATTTGTGTGTAATATTATTTTATTGGAGAAGGTGTAGTTGAAATGAATTTTGAAAAAATAATTTTTTGATAAAATAGTGCTCAATCAATGGCTTAGTGGTGTCAAATTAGCCGAGCGGCTCGTACTGTTCACGCCCACGAGCCTCTCGGACTCGTAAAAAATACGAGCCCGAGCACGAGCCGAGCGGGCAGGTGGGCTAGACGGCTCGGCTCGTCACTATTCATGAGCGGCTCGCCGAGCCGGTCGTGAGACGAGTCCACGAGCCAAGCTCATGGGCTCGTCTTAGGCGAGTCCAGACGAAAAAATAATAAAAATAATAAAAAATTAGGTGACCAGAACGGTCACTGATGAAAATCAGTGACCGTTTCGGTCACCAAAGTGGCCAAACGGTCACTTATTTTTAAAAAAAAATTTTCTACTTTTCTTCTCCTTTAAATACCCAACCTATTACAACATTTTTTTCCCACCAAACTTTCATTCTATACTCTCTACTCTCTACAATTTACAAATCATTATCAACAATATCATTCATTTATTCTATAATTCTCTTCTACATTTTTTTACATTATTATCTTAATTTTACAACCCATTTTATACACTAGTCACTAGCACATAATCTTCATTCACTTCTCATTTCTACATTTCTACATTCTATTTCAACAATTCACAAATGGATCCACGAGTATTTGTTGAAAACTTGTTCGGTATGGAAGGCGAAACACCTGCCCAAATCAATTTGGGAATGAATTTTTCGGTCTCAATGAACTACCAATTCCAGAAGACATTGAAGATTTCGACGTTCGTGAAGCCGATCCAATTGATTTGGATGACGTTGATGTTGATCCTAGTGTTCCTATTGATTTGGAA